AATTAGAGTTGCTGATTTTAACTGTAAAGTTCTCAACTTATTATGATGCTTCATTGAAGAATTATGCCAGGTAAGAGGTAGCGGCCATTTTCTCAATGTTTCTAAAAAGTGCGGTTACACCGTTTAGAAGGCTTCGCAAACTTGAGAATAGTTGAGTATTGAATTCAGCATCCCTAAAAACCCTATTACTCAAGTTTTCACATCTTTTTGAAAATTTTTGAAACGGCGGCTTTTTCCACAGTGACACCATATGTTCCAATTTTCTACCCTAATCCTACAGTAATGAAGAGCGGTCGGTGATTCGCTCTATACTGCAAATCTAAGTTGAAGCCAGCTCTACAAAATGGCGCTTACCGCTTCTCGAAAGATCTCATAATAAGAGAGTTATTCAAAATCAAACAGTGTGCACATTATTTTGGGACACCCTGTATAAGCATAATATCAAATGTGATCTTCTTTGTCTTGATTTATTTTCAGTTCATTCACTATCGCCTCTGAGAGTTATAGTGGTGTACAGACCTCCCGTCTGCTACTATCACAGATGATGCTCTAATGAATGTAATCACTGATCTATGCTCCCTTCCAAATGTAGATGCGATCTCTCCATGTAGGCTCTCCATCTTCCTAAGCTTGAACCTATTTCAAAACGTGATGATTCCAACAAGAGGTAATTCACAGGGTCAAGCGTGGGGTGCGGCACGCCACACCTGGGGGTTGTATTGAGGAGTCAAAAGGGGAGGGGGTCGTAGTTGGGTAATCTGATAATAGTGATAACATGATATTCGTATCCTATCCATAATTAGCATGTCAAATAACCCCTGTAGACAAAGTGTAAGCGAATTCTGAAGATTCAAGATACTAGGCTACCTAAGTGAAATGGTCAAATTCCAACATGGTTAACTTTGTTTCAAAGGTGAATTAGCTATCCGTTTTTGCACTCAAGAAAAAGCACTACTCCTTCTTTGTTCACCTCAAGAATCCCGTTCCAGAAGACCTCCAAACTGTGGAATTAGAAGCCAACCAAAATCTCGTTTTTTTCCATTTTTCGCTTTTGATCGCTGTGCTTTCACCTAATATTATTTAGTGCTAAGAAGACGAATCAGGCTCAGTCCTGTGGAATCTACATGGTTCAGGCCATCGATTCATATAAATACTGTCCACTGAAATTATTTTGATATAGTTAATGGGGTGCGGCACACCCCCTTAGAAGCTGCGGCGGCCACAGCTTTTAAGGGGTGTCACATCCCATTAACTATATCAAAGTCCAGTAGTCCTCTGTCAACAACTGTGACCCAACGGCCTCTTTAGGATCACAAATACGATGACAGCGGCATCAATATTTGAAATAAACGTGTTAATCAAATGGTGTATTTGTAGGTAAAACTTGGCTCGACTTTACGTACTTTATTGAGTAAATTTTGTTGTAACGTGCTGCGAACAAATAGGTCGATCCAGGCAGTAACCGCCGAAACCAGAATTTCGTATGATAAAATAACGAAATATTATGAGAAATTACCACTGCTATAAATGTGGTGGTTGAAGATGTCAGCAAGTGCGACCTCATAGCTTTCAAAGGGTGTTGTTCTACCAGACAATTAAAAAATCAGGTCGATTTGAGGAATGACCACCGAGAACTAGAATCCTAAATAATTAAGCGGTTTTAGGTTGCTTAGTGATAGTTGACATTTAGACTTCCATAGATCTGAAATGTGAAGTATGTGAAGTTGCGACTTTGAAGGTTTTGTAGAGTAAGGTTTGCTCTACCAGAATATGTCTTAGCCATACTGATTCACTGAGATAACGCTGAGATCCAGGCTCAAAAAAAAACAGTTGAAAATTGTTTTTCAAGTTTTAACAGCTCGTAACTTCTTCATAACTGGAATCATGTTGCGACTTCACAGGTTGGATTGTACTCTTCAAGAACTTTTAGATGATATATATGAGGGTTGCGCCTCCCACGGCATATGTCTGCCTCCAGTGGAGACTTCCATCATGAAGTCTCCACTGGCGGCCTCCAGCCAATCCACTGAAATGGGCGTGGTGGAGATTTGTGGATAAAAGTCTCCACGTTAGAGCCGCAAAAATCATTGAACCTCCCACATAGCACATATCCTTCGAAAGCTCTTGAAGAGTGAAATCCAACCTATAGAGTCGTAACATGATTCTTGCAGTTCTGAACAAGTTGTAAGGTGTTAAACTCCGAAAAACGGTTTTTACCTGCTTTTTAAAGAGCCTGGATCTCGGCTATTTTAATGGATCGGTACGGCTAGGACATATTCTGGTAGAGCAAACCTTACTCTATAAAACCTATAAAGCGCAACTTTACACACCTTAACATTCCAGATTTATAGGAGTCCAAATGTCAGCTGTCATTAAGCAACCTAAAACCGCTTAATTATTCAGGACTAGCTGGCTTACCCGGTTCCCCCGGCCCTGTCAAAACACTATGATAAAGCTTCCATCCCTATCCCTGTACAACCTTTCCCTGTGCCCACTTCTACGTACCAACTCCAACTCCCTATTTCCGCTGTGTTAGTTATCAGCATGCTCACTTATCCCTGTTGCGAATTCCCAGTCCCGTAGCTCATAATCCACAAAGAATCTATATGAAAAAATGGTAATTTCATGAACTAATACTGTATTCGTAATCAGCATGCTCGGTTACCCCTCTGTGCCAACTCCCAGCCCTGTAGCTCAAACTTTGCAGAAAAATCAATAAAATCGACAGCAATGGACGATTTTGAAAACTAACATTGTATTCGTAATCAGCATGCTCGATTACGATAAAATCGATATGGATCGATACGAAAAGTAGCCTATGACACCCGCCGTGGCCCGAAGTGTATGTGTGCCAAGTTTGGTCCCGATCGGTTCAGAAATGGAATTTTCTATTCGGAACATACGTACAGACAGACAGACAGACAGACATACAGACAGACAAACAGACATTCAGCTTTATATATAAGATACTGATGCTACTGTACTCATCGTATTTGTGGCCCTAAAGAGGACCGTTGGGTTGGAGCTCTTCAATTATTCAAAGTCATTATGAAGCTTTGGTGTCCAAAATCGTAGAGTGCTGAGACATAAATGCGTCCATGCCGGTGATGGCCTTCGGTGCTCGCAGTAAGCGACGGCGAGTTTTCAAAAGTGAACTACTTAGAAATATGCTTTCAATACTTTCTTTTACATTCGTTTTGCTTATTTTCCTTTTTTTCAGCTTCACCAAAAAAATTTTAAAAACCCAAAAGAAAAGGTGTACCAGCTCGAAAGTGAAGGTTGGTGGAGAATCGGCTCCCACTATTGCACCTCTGATCACAACCGACGTGCAAGATCGTCGGAACGCAATGATATTGTCACAGTTGTCTTGTCGGGAGAATCGCAAGGCGATGGAATCATGATGTATGCTCGGCCCTTGATGCGACTAAGTAGAAAAGTCTGGCGCCTGCCTTTGTTGTGGGTCTGCTATTGCAAAGCTATAGAATCTCATCATTGTCGGAATGCTGGTTATAAACTCATAAGAAGGCTTTGTGGTCGAAGTAATTTTTCTGGACAAAATATGTACTGATGCGAAGAGCATCGAACGCTAAATGTGAATCTATGTTTGGTATCCTAACTAAGGCGAACATATTATGAGAGCACTTTTACGAAAGAGGCGCAGACTGGTCGCCTCGTCTTCCAGCGTCAAGCATTCTCGTTGAGTTAAAGGGCGGAATCAGCGTCCAATGCTCTTTAGTGGCCATATTCATTAATGAACCCTGAGGGTATACCCCACCTCGAGGGTAAATATCACCTCAGAAAACGATTAGCCATATCGACTAAACGCTTACGCACAAGATATGCTCAACGTCAAGAGGTGAGTACGCCGTAAGAGTGAAGCTTACCCCGACAGCGATGAACCCGTAAGAAACGCTAACTTAAGGGTAAAATTCAACCCAGAAAGCGACTATTTCGTATTGACGGACCTGGCGTTAAGGTAAATTGAACCCTAGAGAGCAACGTCAATTACCCTGATACTTCTTACAAACATAATCATCTCTCGGTGCACCACTCAGTCCTAACGATACGCTTTTGAGAACAAACATAGGTTTATAATTAGTGTTATCTCAAATGTCCTGTGACCTCTTTTCGCCCCGTCTAATCATATCACAAAAATCAGGATAAAATTTTTAGTAATTTGTTTATCAGCTTTGAACGTAATTAGTTGAGTTACGATAGTTTGATCAGGTCAAATCATTTACTAAACGAGTAGATATGGACCAACAAAGATTCGTTTGAGGGAGCTCCATATCACGGAAATCTCTTCAAACCTTGTATCCCTTATATCAGCTGAGCTTTGTTAAATGGAATATGTGAGTTGTTAAGTTTGCTTAACTAAATACGCTTAAAGCTGACAACAAATTACTAGAAGATTTTACCCTAATTTTTGTACTACGGCTAAACCGACGAAAAAAGGCCGAAATCTGAGATAAAGTTATAAATATGTATTGTTGTCAAAACTAATGTTAGGGCTGAGTGGTGCATCGAAAGATCACTTTATCTTTGTACAAACTGTCGGGGTGAATTCAACTTGCTCTATGTTAGGGTCAAATTTACCTTGGTAAGCCACGTTTGAATACGTGTTATTCGCTTTCTGGGGTTAAAGTCACATTCAGCCACTGAGGTAGCGCTCGAATTCCTCAAGAATAGGTCTACACTCAGGGTTCGTTGATGAATATGGCCGCAGATTAGTACTGATTTCATTCTGAGCAATTCGGCTGTTAATTCCCTTATCAGGCACTCGCCGGTGGAAGTCTGTAACACTTGATTCACCTGGCTTGGCTTCGGGAAAGCGGGGCTCCGGACCTAATTTAGGCTAGCTTGTGATCAGAGAGCACCCACGCGAGAGAGACGCAAGTGCGTCGCGGGCGCAAGCGGCCTCAATCACGTCAGAAAGCCCCGCCTTCCCGAAGAGCCAGGCCAGTTGAATCAAAGGTTATAACACTCCCAAAATCTTACAGATCATCCGCGCCAGCTGCAAGTGGACAACGCAATCAAGATCTTCGGATCACCAGGTATGCGATAAATATGCACTGGCGGACCGAGGGAGAGTGAGAGGAGGAAGGCAAAGTGGTCTACATGAGTCATAAAATTGTGCAGTTGGACTTTTACTTGTCAGTAGATTTGCGCAATTTTTTAGAATTTCTACAAAATCAAATTAGCTTTTTTCTGTAAAGAATTTATGGTTACAAATCCGCGAAAGAAAGCATCTTGTGAGTTTTTACAGAGACCCTGCTATGCCTTCAACCAATCTTCAACTCCCATCCCCCTCTCGGATAAAATCCACGGCCCGCCATTCTCGTTTATCGTTAGCAGTTACTATGCTTGTTTCAAATGAACTTCGCGGTACTAATCCTCTTCGTTAGTATCATAAAGCTATATTATATGTCTTAGTAATTTAAATTATCTTAAGCTGAAGTTCTACTAGGGATACACTTGAAAAGAAGCATACTTACACACTTCAGGAGCATGGCTGCAAAGTTGACTACGCTGAAAGAGCTGGACGAGGTCACCGATTCAGATGCGGGGTAACTTTGCTATCTTTGCACAGTTAACATCAGAATACGTTGTATTGAGGAATTCTCAGATAGTCGCCGAGGGCACACGCGGCCATACGATTTATGGGCGAGCGGGCAAAAATAGTTCGCTGAATTCTTGCGGTCTCCTTGCAGATATTTGGAAGAGTTTTGGCTAAATTTTGAACGAATGCTCGGAGAACAATCGCTTTTTCCTATAGATTAGTGCGGCAAAGTGGCCGCATTCTCGCGGACCTTCCGCGAGAATTTGCAAAATTATGGAGGGAAGCACGGTCCTTTGTAAGGCTTGAGGCTACAGTCTGCCCCAATCCTGACCAGGCCAAAATTGGCATGTCGGGAACCCGTGTCGTGAGGGTATTGCGTCAGGTCTACGGCTAGCCAGTCTGCTTTCTCTTCAATAGCCTTTCTCTCTGCGACCGCGCGCGTATGCAGCGCAGACCCCTAGCGTTGCGAGCGCGCAAATTCAGCTAGCGGTTCGGCCTCATCCCGATGGGGGCAGACTGTACCTCCCGCGATCCAAGTCGCGTCGCAAATTCCAACTCGGTATGTTCCGAGTCCGCAGCGCAGGCGCCTCCAACTGTGTGGTCCCGCCGCGTCTGTGTTAGATTGACGCCGCGACGGATCGCGGGCCGTTTTTGGACGGGCATACCTCGGCAGGGAAATCGTCGCGACATCGCTGAAACTCAGCGATGTCACCGTCGCTAGTTCCGACCGAGCGATGAGCGAATCGGTCGAATAGCTTCTTTTTTGTTATGAAGTTTTGTGTTTTTCTGCAAATGCAAGTTTCATTTAGGACTACTCCATCTCACAGAAGCGCTTCCTCTCTAGATGAGAGAAGGATGGTCATCGAACATTCTATACTATTAATCCTTGAAAACAACAGTGCGAGTTACATAGTATGGAATGCTTCTCACATGTCACCTCACCCTCTGCTGGCATTTACTGTTCTCGCAATGTATTAATCTTCTCCTATTCTTGTTTATCTATTACAGGTAGTGGCCGAATCTCGAATGTTCCTGCCATAATTTCCGAAGTGTATAGAATAGATGTGCAGTTTCGGTCGCTCGGACATATATCATTCAATTGCCTGATTAAGAGACACGAGCACGCTTCGCGTACGTCCCGTTTATAAGTTGCCAGTGCGTTTTAACGCGATTTGGTAAGTCGATTTGGTAAGTCACTATTGGGAATTCGTGCATAAACATGATCGAACTCGCGTTGTTTTACGAGCTTGAACATGTCTCACCAAGAGCTTTGCTCGTAAACTTGTTAATTAAACGTACGCAAAGCTTGCTGGTGTCTTCTAGTCAGAGAAATAGCTGGCGTACCCGGCTTCGCACGGGTCATGAAACCATCTCCTACGTTTGCGCCATGCCGCCCATACGCGCCCCGAGATATAAGCCTACCAATGTAGGGTCGGCAGCTGGCAGCGATGGTTTAATTACATGACCATGCGAATAGCCGAAGTGCGTATGGAGGATTTCTTCGATGCGATCCTGGGGTGGGAGGGGAACAAAGTACTTGTGAATGTCGATCGGATGGCAACAGTCTTGCAAATCAAGCAGGGCCCCTCCGTCATGATCGCCGTGCGAGAACTTGAGGGCCGGGTGGCGGCCTTCGAGATCGCACGGCGACCGTTCCCCTCCTACTCCCGCCGACCCCCTCGCGGCGATTTGTATAAGCGTTCGCAGATTTGCAAACAAGAGCTCGCGCAGCAGTTGTAGTTAAAATAACCTACTCAGAGTCTTTTACAAAGACAGAAGAATGATTTTACAACAAAGCTAACCTATATGCCTACCAGTGACTGAAAGAGAATCAAAAACTTTATGAACTTGTTGTTGATTCCATCGCAGATGTAACTACTTAACTTGCGCCAGTAGAAAAACGTCGGTAAATCTGGGATGTATGTGAATCCATATCCTTTCTTGTTTGATTCAATGTTCTTTTAAAGCATATGCCACATTCTGCTCGAATTCTCTCAAATAAATACACTTCAGAGAATTCAGCGCAAGTTTTCCAAAACTGCGTATAATGCGGTGTGGTATGTGAGCGTTCACAAAATCGCTACGCGTATGCCCAAGAGTCGAGCGATGGGCGATTTTGACGCAATGGACGGTCGCCCAGGCAGTCTGGTCCCAGCGATCGAAAATCGTGACGATTGGATTGCTGGAGGTATGCCTTAGGCCTAAAGGACCGCACAGTCTGTGGGAACTTTCCGCTGAGAGAAAGTACCCCAAACTCGGGTAATTGAAGCATCGATGGCACTTCTGTTATGTAGAGTGTTACCTTTGCTCGGCGTACGCCCGAAACTGCGTAAAAAGTCCGAGCGCCTGCTGAAAGTCCGAGCCGCGCTTGCTGAAATAGATTATCTGACGAGCGCTTGTAGAAAATTTTGTAATGCTGCCTGGCAGGACAGAAGTACCGCTCGCTGAAGGCTTGGTCACGCCCCAAAATTTTGCTGAACGCTTGCAGAAAAGCGCGAGTTTGCGGACCGCCTGCCCTCGGCGATTATCTAAGATTGTTGGGCATCATTTTCGCGTTCCGCACTTATAGTCATACCTTCGATAGTCTAGAGACAGGGCCTCAAAAGTGAAATTTGTTTGATTATCTGCCCCTAATAATTGTTCATATGAAACCAAAGAAAAAGATGCAAAACATTTAGTAAAAGCAAAGGTTCTCGTTCCGGGACCACGTAACCCACGGAGAAAAACGACGAAAATCTAGTTTTTCTTTGTGTTTATTCCAAAACCAACCATGTTTTGGAATTAGCGATTATCAAGATCGGATAAACAGGAAAAGATTCATTTTAAAAACGGAGAGTTTTGTTTTACCAAGTCGAAATGCGCGTCAAAGCCAAACCTAACTTTTAGTGCGTCCTCTAAATTTTTACCCCCGCATTGTGGTTCCTATTTTCTGGGACGTTGTCTAAATTGTTGCGCTCATTATTCTGAGCAGTAATCGTCCAAGCTGGAAAAAAATCGCTGCGAAAGCATTGAAACAGAACAAGGTGTAAAGAAAATGCGCTTTTACGATTTTCCACAAAAAATTCCGCCTTGATCGAAGAGATAAGCACTGTCGTTGTCTGCACTATGAACGTAACGTTTGTCAACGTGAAAGTAGAGATCGAAAGATTCAATGCAGAGTTTGATAGGATTTAATTAAAAACAACGAAGGTTACCAGAGCCAAATGCACCGCGCCCAGCATTTGGGGTAGCGCGGTAGCGCGCGGTGCGCGGAGACGCAGACGAGCAGTGTAGACATTATTTATCAACGAACTCAACGGGTTCCGGAACCCCATTGGGTCAAACCCAGTGAGTTCCGTGGGTTCGCGAACCTACTGGGTAAGATCGGTATTCACAAGTGCCCCGCTGGGTTCGCCAATCTATGACGTCACCGGTGTGCCTCTCTAGTCGGTGCACTATTTTCCTCATTTTCCCACGCACAAGAATCGCGCTAAACTAAAAGCGTCAGCACATTTGACACGCTTTCGAGAACTCTTATGTTTGGATGAATGCCATCAATGTCTTTTGTGCGACAAAGCTTGCATTTCCTTATCCTTGTCCTTCTTATTTGGGTATTCTTATTCCAGACATGAATTTCGTCTTGGAAAGAGATGCAGAAAAGGGGGCTCTACAGTCTGCCCCAGTTTTAACCAGGCCAAAATCGGCATGGCGGAAATCTGCGCCGCGAGGGTTTCGCGCCACATCTGCGGCTAGCTAGTCTGCTCTCTCCTCGATCTGTTCACTCTCTGCGACAGCGCGCGTATGCAGCGCAATCCCCTATCGCTGCGAGCGCGCAAATTCAGCCGACGGTTCGGCCTGATCCCGATTGGGGCAGACTGTACGTTTTTTTGTGCTACTGTGTCTTTCTTTTGACATTGTCTCTTAGCTCATAAGCAGAATATTAGCCATACTTTTGCTCGACATAGCTGACACATAGAATCTACGTAATTTGATACTTTGGATTAATTTGATAATTTGTAATATAATTTTGTAATTCGAAACGATTGTCATAATGCAATGAGTGTTAAGTTTTTATTTTATGGATGTTTGCTATACGTAACAAGTATATGTACGCCCTTCAAACGGAATGCTCATCATCAGTGGCAAAGTGGCATTTGCAGGGGTGGTGGTTTGAGCAGTTTCATTTGGCTTGAGCGGAGGGATTAAATTTGGTGGTAACAAGTAAAATAGCCGTTGTGAAAATTGTCTAAATTATCCCTTTGTATTTCTTAGCGAGGGCTCCTGGAGGGTAGAAGAAGTACGTTTTCTTTAGATTGGAATGTCCGGATTATCGTTGTACAAGTTCTCTCTATCATACAGACTAATAACTAACGTGACTAACATGATTACTACTTGTTCTTCTCCGATTTTCACCCCACAAAATTGAGAATTTTTGATTGAAAACTTTTTCCGCTTCTTTGGAGCTTTCGTATGCTGACTTGATCGGATTGAGAACTTTTTTATTGATCTGCGGAATAAACGAACATGACAAACATGAACAAACATGGACAACCAAATACGTAACATGAATGCAGGCAGACGCTCTGCATCCTATATGAGGCTCCCTCTTCACCACAACAGTATTTGAAAAATTTCGAGTTAGTGCACAAACATTGGAAAATGCATAGGCTTTCACGTTTTCACCAAAAATCTTCGCAAAAGCTTGTTTGCGACTTTTTAAAGATTGCCAAATTGTGACCGGCATCAAGTTTGCTAGTCCTACATTTCAGTGGAATCTTATCAGAATTTATCCAACAAAATTCCTGTCAGTCATAAAAAATATGGAAAGTGTTATTAACCAGTGGCGTGCCGAGGGGGGGGGGGCTCCTTCTCCCTGAGAATGGGTCGCGTTTTTGAAAGTTACTTAAGTATGTTACAAAAATGTGCAGAGGACTTGTTTTTACTTGTAAATAATTAAAATAATTTTAAAACTTTTAAAAATACAAATTAGCCTTGTAAAAAAATTTTTTTCGGGGGCATGGCTGCCGCAACGCTTCCTTTTTCTCAAATTTTGGGGTCAGGGGCCCGGAAAGATTTTGGAAACCATCCCAAAAATTTTTTCGGAGTGCGTGGATAAGCCACGCATCTTCATCTGAAAAATTTTTTTGTCGCCCTTCCCCTCCCCTCGAACGGAAATCGTGGGTACGCCACTGTTATTAATGTATTGTTGTAGCAGTAACCGTCCCTGCTTATACCCACACAGTATTCAACAAAAGGACTGGGTTCGCATTTTACCCACTGAGGAATTTGCACCATGCTTGGATTCGCCAACCCAGCGCTCATTGGGTTCCGGATCCCATGAGAGCTGGGCAAGTGTTTCTTGAATACCGGTATGCTTGACTTTTGGGTTTGCGAACTCACTGGGTTCGTTGTGAATACCGGTCAAGGGCTTTTTGTGGATTCCGGAACCCACTGGGTAGGCTTAACCCTCTGGGTTAACCCACTGGGTTCCGCAACCCACTAGTTTCGTGATTACTGATTTTGTGGGTTGAGCCTACCCAATGGGTTCTGGAACCCACTGGGTTCGTTGATGAATACGGCCACAGAGCCGACGGGGCATTTGGCTCTGGTCGTAGAACTCCGCGGGGTTTCAGCGAACCCTGCAACATTATATATTATTCTGATCGTCGTGATGCGACGAGGAACACCGATAACGTTCCAAGCGTTGAAACTCACTCATTAGCGAGATAATCCAGTACTTTCTTGCGCGAGTCTCTGCGCAAGATTTAAGTGCAGTTTTGCGCCTTTATTCAGCACTCACAGCTTCCCTAAACTTCTGGGACTTAATTTTAGTCAAATAAGAGGTTAGATGAGAAATGTTGTCCTGAATTCTGATGAAACGTGCACAGAAACCTTCTATTTAGCGTGAAAAAAGTATAAAAACGCGAATTTTCGGTTTCGCTGAGATAATCTTAAGATATTATCTTATATATAAAGCTAAATGTCTGTTTGTCTGTATGTCTGTATGTCTGTATGTCTGTCTGTATGTGTGTACGTATGTTCCGAATAGAAAATTCCATTTCTGAACCGATCCGGACCAAACTTGGCACACACACTTCGGACCCCGGCGGGTGTCATAGACTACTTTTCGTCACCGATCAATATCGATTTTATCGATTTTTTGCAAAATTTGAGCTACGGGGCTGGGAGTTGGCACAGGGGGGGGGGAGTAATTGAGCATGCCGATTACGAATATAATAATGACAGGGCCGGGCGGAGCCGGGTAAGTCAACTAGTTCCATATATTTATTCACATTCATTCCGATATAGTCAGAATTATAACATCCGGGGTTTGGACCCGGATCCCTTATTTTAGGTGAAAATTGTGTTCTAGTTCTATCATGGCGCTCAAAGTGAAGGTAATCAAAGTACAGGCTCTATGTATTGAGACTATGCTTCTAGTGTTTATGATAAGTAAAACTTCGATTTTATTTTTCAAGCAAAGTTTTGCACGCTTGTAGTTGCAAGGACTGCGCTTCTTAGTTTGATAAGATATCAGAAACTACCGTAGAACGAGTACTCGATTCATTAAGTCAAACTTAGCAATGAATCTGCTCTCACCGTCCCCCCCCCCCCTTGAGAATGGTGTGGTGACTTGTATTAGGCGGAAGGGTGGCGCCTTTAAAGGCAGCGGACAGGCAAAATGGACCCCTGTCAGATTTTGGTAGTTTCGGGTAGTGGACCCCCCAAGTACACCGTAGCCCCAACCCCACATTCCAATTCATGCGCTAAGTCCTGAAAAAAGCGCTTCAAAACTCCACCAGCCCCGCCCACTTGCATTGAGTGGGCGTTATTGGTGGAAGTTTGAAGCGCTTTTTTCAGGACTTAGCGCATCAATTGGAAGTTGGGGTTGGGGCTACGGTGTACTTGGGGGGTCCACTACCCGAAACTACCAAAATCTGACAGGGGTCCATTTTGCCTGTCCACTGCCTTTAACAATTGAGCGGAAGGGTGACACTCTTTACTTTTGTCAATTAACAGGTGGTTCAGTGGTACTTTTTATTACCGTTCGCTAGGAACGTATCGTTACAAGTGATGAGGAGGCGGCCATGCCGAGAAGGCGTGACGGAAGAGAGAGAGAGAGGGGGGGGGCGGAGGTGAAAGGTTCTGGCATGTGCCAGAACAAATGGATCGCAGAATTTGCAAAAGTGCTCTATACGAGTTTTAAAAATGTGCAAATTTCTTGTAAAAATTGATTTGGTTTTTTGGATTTTCGAAAATCCAGATTGGATTTACATTTCTATCCCATTTTCTCAAAGTTCCGCGGTTACAGGCCCGTGAAAATTTTGGAAAGCTCAAAAAATTTAGCAATTGGCTATGTTGTAGCGCCTCACCTCCCCACCCCCCCCCCCCCCCCCTCCTCCTGCTCCCACCACCTCCGGACGAGATCCTCCAGACCGCCACCGAAAGTTTGAAGCTATAGATTTGACAATAACATGATGCCCTTGTAGTGTTGTACAGAATGGATTGTGCACAATCCGTAGTGAGACTTGTTTTCCATTGTTATGTAGTTTTAATTTATAGCCTATGTTTTATAGGTTTAAAAACTTCGAAGTTTAACTCTTGGAAACGATTCAAACATTATGTACGGTGATACAGGAAGCATGAGGATGAGTAATATGAGGGAAAATTTCCAGAAAGCTCAGAGCTGTTTTCTTTCAAGTAAATTGCAATTTTTCGCAAGCAGTTGCTCGCATATGCTTGACGCTAGCTTTGTTGGGACTTCCGCTCCAAAGATTTTGCCTTGTTCTCTATGGAGAAAACGACATTGTGATGAAGAGGGGTTTTGAGAATGTGAGTTGGATTTAGAAAGCAATGGAGTTATTTATGCACTGCATGTTGTAATTGCGCGTTCACTTTCTAAATGTTCACAGTACATCCATATAGATACTCGCAATAATGGTAATCCTCACAATTTATCGTTCTTAGCTTTCCGCCTTCAAATGAAAATGCATCCACCATGGGGGACGATGAAGCCGAGTCAGTCTGTTTTGAGGAGAATACTAGGAAAGCAAGGGTATGTTTGCTGTTGAAATCACTTTCACAAACACGGATTCTGATAGTTTCAAAGACTTATTGGTCTGCTTATTTGCTGCTTGTTTATATATAAACTATGCTTTACAGAAGGACTAAGCCAAAAAATGACGAATAACATCACTTCATCGTTCAGAGTCATTTATCAAAGAACAAGTTAACAGAAACAATTTTCCATCAATCGTGATTGTACCCTCACTCCAAAGTTCTCGATTATCTCATCTCTACACTTCCTAGCAGCAACGAAGTCGAAGAGCTTTGAAGAAAGAACTGGAGTGAGGAACTGGAAACAGGCATCAGACATGTATCGTTATGCGATATGGAACGTCCAATACATTAGCAATCTTATTGAAGAAAACCCCGCCTATATTGATTTTTGCTGTAGTGTAAGGAAACCCCGCCTGTTTGATCTGCGCTGTTTGAAAAGCAAGGAGAATTCAAGAAAGCATTGGGTACTGTAGTCATAACGAACGGAAATTTTCATCGAATGAACGAATACCGAATAATTGATTTTTGAAAATCTTTCGAATGAACGAATATTATTCGAATTTTTGGTTTTCATATAATTCGAATTCGAATATTCGAATATGGTCACATTCCAAAATTCGAATGAACAATATTCGAATAATTGAACTTGATCGAATATTCGACTATTCGAATAATCGAATAACCGAATATCATCGAATATTCGAATGCAATATATTAATATTCGAATATTCGAATATTCAAACGCAATAGTCGAAAAACGAATATTCGAACAACGGTTTTCAAAACTTTTCGAATAATCGAATACTCGAATAAACTGTCTTTTAAAATTCCTCGAATATTCGAATAATCGGATAAATCATTTTTCCGAATCGTCGAATGTAATTGTTCGAATAAAGACCTTTTTCATTTATTCAATTATTCGAATAATCGAATAATCGGACTTTCTCGAATATTCGACTATTCGAATATTCGAATAGTCGAATATTTCGAATGAATTCGAACACGAATATTCGGTTACAACTATATTGGGTACCTTCTTTATGCGAATATCATTGAAGGACGCGTGGGATAACTTCAAGGAGTTTAGCTCTGAGTGTACGAAAATGTTTTTGAAATGACGCGGCAAGTATTAGGTCGTGTAATAAGTTCTGTCCCAATTTTTGTTTCTGTCCCAATTTTTGTTTTAGTTTTTTCTTGACAACAGTGACTATATTTGAGATAAAGTGTATATGCTTTTGAAAGCTCTAATTCTGCTCTGCAGACTCATATGCATCATTCCCCAACATAGCAGAGAATTGAAAAAGATTTTTATCATTGAAACAAAAAAATCCAGAGAGCAGAAAAATCAACTTTCGACATCTTTTTTCCTCCAAATTTTTCTCGATTTTTTGGTGAAACTTATTAAACATGCTTGACAACGACCAAAACAATCCGCTAGACTTTTACACTTATTCTATAACTGTTTGCGCATGTTACCTTCCATCGGCTATATAATGACATTTTTTCAAAAGTCGGCAAGGCAAGACTTTGTCACGGCGATGTTCGCCGTCTCACGTACCCAAGCTGTGTGGCTCTCAAAATTTGAATTTTGAGTATTTAACCTACGAATTTGATAATTTTGAAGCCACAAGCCATCCCTTCTATGTTTTCTGGATGATCCGCCTACCGTCTTCCCTCAGGATGCCTTCAGATGATGCCCAACACCAACGTTGAGAAGGCGTTAGAAAGAAGACTTCTAAAGTCTATAAAAATGATTTTTGAAAAGTTTCAGCACTTCTAAAGCGCAATAGAAGCTAGAGCATTCTTTGCTTACGTATAGCAAATTCTTCGAGCTTATTTCTAGGCATTCTGAGTAATTAGGAGGGCGACGTAATGTAGTTGTCGAAAATGGACTTTTCCCTGTTCGATTTTCCAACCTTGACGCTGCAAAACTCTTTCAAGTCATCTGATGTAGAAAACCGAGATGAAAGTTTCAGTAGAGAAGGCTTAGAGCTTTCAAGTGCATATAAGCAATTTGCAGAACATCGCGCAAAGTATTAAGGAAAAACCGAAAGAAAAAATGGGACAGAACTTATTACACAACCTAATAAATAATGTAAGGAATCAATTCGGCAACTCAAAGAGCGTCGATTTTATTATATCAGTCGATTAAAAAGTGTCAATTATGCTAATGCAAAATAACCGTATCCTTTGAAGTCTTACTTGAGCTATAACTCAAACAAGACTCTGTACCTTCTGATGCAGTGAGAATTTGAAGTTGTGAACTTCTTACGACATAGCGCACACTCATCTGTAGTATTCTAACACTGGACTGGACAATTTCCTCATAACGCCACATTAGTAAGATATAACTTTGTGAGCTTTTCTTTGTTACAGATCAGCTGAATTATTGTTAAATCACTGGTGCAAGCGTTTTGAAGAGGACTGTAACGAGATCAAACTCAATCTGATAACGAGAGAATTAAAAGGTTTTTGCTTCATTTTTCAGTAATACTCAAAGTCCCAAAACTTTCGGCACTAACTTTTCTTTGTCAGGCTGTGAAATCTTGCGAAGTCACTGTGCACTATTGAAAAATTCAGAACAAATATTTGCTATACATGCATCCAGGAATAAGCATTTTCTTGCGTTTGAGTTCTAGAAAAGGAATGGGCAATCCGGGTGGGTACTTCTCAAAATTCTGTAAAATCAGACGAGGCTAGAGAAGAGTGAAGTGTTGGAATGTTGGACCTGGGATAAAAAAGCAAGAAGTGCCCTTCAGATATCTGCAAATGCGAGAAGAGGTGAAAAAGATGTTCTGAATATCGCAAAGCATGGATTAATACCGCACCAGCATAATAGTTGGGAGCTCATTTGGTAGCTCAAGAAATGAGCTTTTAGGATTTTTTGTAATTGGTGGTATCAATAGCACAAGCTTCTCTAAAGCGATCAACATGTATAAAGTTGATTGTATTTATCATTGAGAGAAGATAATTGTGGTAAAACTTAAAAGCCTTCCATAGAATTACACACATTTTGAGGTGCTGCGACCTATACGTCGGAGGAGGAGAAAGCTGATTACGATGAGAAAGGCTAGAAGAAAGGTATGTTATTGCAGTAAATTCATGTGAAGCTCAACTGGGAATCTCTTACACTTAACAGCCACTCGGCACCATCTTTGGAAGCCCTCGGCAGAAGATTGAGATTGACGAATGGGTTGAAGAAGGGAAAGGAATGTACACCAGAGATGCAGTCATCTTGTTTGACAGGGTACAATCCGAAGTGGAGGTAATGTTTTTCGTTTTGGGAATACGCATCAGAGCATCCTTTTCTCCTACTTTACTTAGAAGTCAAGGATACAGAAACTCTCGCCGAACGGCAGTATTGAAGTGGTGAATTTGGGAGGCAAATATGAGATCAAGACATCTTACTGGTAATTATATAGACTTATGCATTTGCAGTACGAAAAAAGTTTCTTTGTCTTTGTGTTGAAAGATTAAGCCATAATAAGTGTGCTGAAAAAGCACAACTTGCAGAAAAATGATACTACCTTCAGCGGTAACTATCCTGCCGAATATTCTGCTCTGAGAGCCCTTTATGTATGTGACGGTTGCTTCTCCTACTTCGCTCAACAGCAGACTCTTTTCCGTCATATGGTATGTCGTAATATATGTATGAGATATGAAGTCCAGCACAAATCAGTACGATTTTCAATGAGAGAATGGGTTGCTAGCAAATGATACACATGATACATACAGTTGCCTAATCAAACGAGAGATGGAAACTGCAGTATCTCGATCATAAGGCAATAGAATTCTTCAATCTGTCATGCGTTTACTATAGACAGTGCTGAACGTGTGAAAGCAGATTTATTTGATCTCCTGTTATCTCAGTCTAAACATGATGCCATACCAGTGTCACAAGTAGTATTCGAATCCAAAGCACACAGCTTGGATTGTCTATGCGTAAAAGCTTGTGTCCATGTATCTTCGAGGTGTGAAAAGTGAAGTTTGAAGAAAAGAGAAACTACACGCAATTCATCGCACGCAAACACTGAACGCCGTTGCGTCCGACTAAGTCGCGCACGGGAGTCGCAGCAAAGGCAAGAGGAATGAGAGAGCATTTGATCAGCGAGACGTCGACATTGTCCGTTGTGACGTCCTGTCTTTGGTGCGATTAATGACTCATGTGTTGCAATCTATGCGATTTCTTCACGCAATTCTAGGGCAGGAATAAATGATGACTATTGTTTTATGGTTTCTATTTGACATTTCAAAAAGTTTTGAAGGTAGTATTCAGGCAAATGAGCACATGGGCTTTTGACTTGAAAACTGATTGAAGGCCCTAACCAAAGCCAAGCGGCTCTGCAAATGATCCAATCACAGCTGAGGAATTCGAAGTAGTATAAGTCGTCGCTATTTACACTTTTGCGAGCAGATTGGGAGGCGGCTGTGATTGAAGACACCTCTTCTGTTCCAATGAAATTTTTATGCGGTAACGATAGGGAGGCCCCTAACTGAGTGATTGCTCAAGTCCCGCTGCAAAGATGCAACTGGAGCGAGTGCCCACCAACATAGGTGGTCTGAAATTAATAAGCTAGGAACGTGACTCCAGAGTATCTTGATGTTAAAAAAGTGTTTTTCACGATTTTCGACGTTTCAGAATCAGTCTAGGGCCTACTATTTTTGAACCACCCTAGTCCATAGGGGTGGCGACTTAACAACATCCATCTTCTAAAAACCGAATTACCTTTTGCAGCGAACCTTGGCCAATTAGATAATTAGAGGCCTCGCTAATCTTCGGCATAGGAATTTTATCAACCTCAAATCTGAGAGGACTGTTCCCTGGAATCATTTGTGCTGCCGTTTGGGCAGTGCCTTGATTAGAGCTTCTATTCATTTTCCACATCAAATCCCCATATGTTTGAACTTGCGTGGGACTGCTTTGAGACACGCCTCTCATTTTTTAGTAGACCAATTTTTCACTGGATTTGAATTATTATTTTATTGTTTACAGGAAAGCAAGATTCCCGGATGACCGAAAAAAGACTTTTTTAGATTAAATGTTTATATCGTTATGCTCCTCCAGGAAATGAGATTTACCGCGATGAAGAGCGTAATGTTTCAGTTTTTGAGGTGCACGGAAAAAGCGATGCTGTAATTTTTTTTTAAATTTCTGCGGGCTCGGCATTGTGAATCTGTAATTTCAGATGTATTGCTCAAATCTATGCCGGTTGACTATGCTTTGGCTGGAGAACAAGGTACGGTTTGCACGAAATTACGATACCAATGTCGCTATAATAGGTTATCTTCATGGATGTTGAGCCCTTCAATTTCTATATTCTCACTATGTTCCTCGATGGTGGATTTCGTGCCCTTGGTTATTTTAGCAAGGTTGTCCTTACTTTCTTATCGATTCACTAAGGCTTTATAAACTAGCAGATTTTGTGCGAATTTTGTGCGCAAGCTTAATCCAACAATTGGAAAAAATTGTTTTCTCAGGTAAGATGTTATATGGGTCGCGAGAATGCTTATATGTGCATATGCGAGCATAACTTCCTTGAGAACTCTAATTTATGCAAGTTCTATAAAAATGATTTTCCATTTACTGCTCAATAATCTATTTCAGCAGTGCTCTTATCTTAAGCACAATTTGTCATGCTTCTGTATATTTCCTTGCTATCAAGGCAAAGGTTACGGTACTTTTTTAATCGATCTCAGTATGTTTCTTACTTTGGAATTTTGTTATTTTTAGTTATGTCAGAATTTTCATCAGTCGTATTTCATGTTATTTGTTGTCCCGTATTGATGGTGAGCCTAGTGGTCCAGAACGTCCATTCTCGGCCAAAGGTCTTATTGTTTACAAGAAGTATTGGTGCAGCACTCTGATACAATACTTGTATTTGAAGGCGCTAGATATTGGATGGGAAAATCTTCAGCTGACCCTTGCAGGTGGTGCTTGCGCAAAAATATACTGTGACACAAGTCTTCTATTTGCAGAAGTAGCCAAAGATACTGGGATCGAGATAAGTGACATAATTGAATCGTTGACTGGTTTATGCGACTTTGAGTGGACCAGGTTCGATTTTGCCTCTTCGGAGAAGAGCCATCATTTAGCTGAGATTTTGATTCCAGGAACTATAGATCGCTCATAATAAAGATTACTGAGCAGAGCATCATGGATATTGGGAGGCATATAGTCGAAAGAAATGCTAAAAAGCTTTCTGCGAATGTGCAAAACCTAACTCCATTGTTTGAGGTATGAGTCATTGTTGAAATGCCTTTGAAACAAGGAATGCTGAAAGATGTGGTAGAGGGCGTGTAATAACCGTGCTATAGCGGTGAAATGCTCCTTAGATCAACGCAATACTCTTATATTAGAAGATATGGAAAATGAGTCATCCCAGTGAGAAGAGCAATGACATTAGTTGCCTTCCCCTCATCGAGACATTGTCTAGCATAGTATCGCCGCTTTTACGTTGTTGACTCATATTTTCCCTTTCTAAAACCTAATTCATCTCGTAAGCTGTCCCAGTAATAGACTCTTTTCTAGATAAGCCAGACTGTTTTTATTTTTCTGCCAAACTTAGTGTACCATTCAATAGAGCGAAACGAGCTTTACAACCTTCAAAGATCAACATCATTGTGAATCAGGTAAAATTTTGAGCAAAGAACTTTTCTCAACTATCCCCAAAATTGGATATTTTTCTACACCTATGGACGTCCAACTTGGTCATCATACGTATACTGATAGCAGTATTCATGATGTATCTGCTGATTTTCCGCTGCCCGAAATCAAGAAACATAAATCGACAATGCAATGTCTCTTTTTTGGTTCTTTCAAGTTCTCGTTATTTCTTAATTACCAGGGCACATACAGAGGAATGATCTCGAGGTTACGCTTACTAGGGCTTGTAGTATACATATTTTTCACATGTGGGAGGAGCTGGGACGGAGTTTGCCATTTTCGGACTATTTGTTTTTCAGCATAATTCAAGTACGACCGTCGCTCAATCTCGGCATTGTAGAAATTGTTTTGAGAACTTCTTGAGCTTCACGGATTAGTAATTACTTTATTTGCCTGACGTTTCGGCTAAATCGCCTCTTCCAGAGTGGGAAATCGTCGAATGCATGAGTAATCTATTCCATCAAAAGCGGCATCAGGACTAAGAAAAGACGTCCAGCGTCAATAAACCGAAAGCTACGAAAGTAAAGTATCTGTTTTTCCTTGGTCTCTATGTGCGAAGAGAATTCAACAAACGCGTACATGAGTATCACTATGTATGTGTATACTATATGATCCAAGTTGAATGTCCGTAGGATTTTTCTAGAAGGAGATTCGATATTTAGCAAGTTGAGAAATCTTATTGATGGTTCCAGCTTTTATCTGGATTAGGACTTAAAAGGAAAGGATACTTGGCGACCGTGACCTTTTGCAGTGAGATGCATGCCAGTAAATGCGCCTAATGCTGATTCCACATCTTGCTCATTATCTGCTGTCCTACTCTCTGAACGATGTATGAATTTTTTCCATAATATTTCACGAGATCTAACAAGGGAAGGATACTTGATCGCAGTGACGATTGGGTAAGCGGTGTATACCGCGTATACCATCCCCAGACGGTGGTCTCTAAACCGCATTCCATATCTGCTGTAACGTTATTCTGGAGGAGAATTTTTGGTGCAGTGGATAGTGGCTTGGACTGCGGAGGTGGACGTCGTGGGTACGATTCCTCTGGGATGCCACCCGTTTTGCATTTTTGTAAATTTTTGCAGGCAAGTTGCAAAATGTTGACATCAGAGAAGTTGATTTTCACAATATATAGCAATATATTTCATTTATTGGCAGTGAACCACCGTCTAACCCAAAAACACTCGTTTATAACCTTTTCGTTGAATACTTTACTCAGTTTTACACTGGAAAATTCCGAATTCAAGCTTAACATAGAGAGGAGCAGCTAACTGTCAAAAATGGCGTCTTTATCGATTGATGCACAATATGTTAATCAACTGCAATGTTCAAGGCTAGAAACGAGTGTTGTTAGGTTAGGCGGTGGTTCAGTGCCAATAATGAAAATATATCGCTTCATATTGTGAAAGGGGGGCGGGCGTTAGGTACCCAGCCGAGGTGCGGGCGTTAGGTACCCAGCTATTAGTGGTATGCACTAAGTCACGCCCCTTGGTTGCTTTAACAGCGGGTACCTAACGATACACCGAATCACAGCTGCTAGAACAGCTCAACTTGCTCGCCAAAGCGTTGGCACTTGTGAACCACAGAAAAAAGATAGCTGGAAGATATCCAAAAAGAAAAATTGCGCGAATAAGCATTGTACAAGCGTTTTTTTACTGCTTGTTTTTTAAACGATTTTAGAATCACAGAAATTTGGGTGATGAAGTTTGAAAAAAGGGTAAAGCTTTTATGAGCACTTCATAAAGTTTTGCAAAAGAGTTTGTGATAATCTGATCTAACCGATAATGTCAGCGCGAATTTCAAAAAAGTTAACTTTGTGGATTTCCAATAAACCAAAAGTGATTCTAATGAAGCAGAACGCACTTTCGGAGATGCCCCTGGTAAACAAATTATAAGAAAGATTCCCTTAGCCTCAAAAGACTGCTTCAAATATATTTTTGACAATGGGAAGTGAAACCGATTGGCAGAAAAGCTTCGACGAAAACTTGTCCGGAACTTTATGGAGGAGTACGTGACCCATTAATTTATAGGGTGGGCACTAGTTCTGTTCAAATCAATGAAAACTTTACGTTATACAGCTATGCCAATTTCGGATGAGTGTGTGACAATAGAATGAAACAGAAAGCATAAAGAAACTTTGCTGAGAGCAGTTATTGACGAAATCTTTCGCTTTTCAGCTAGTTACAAAAAAATTCATAGCTTTAGTTAGATAAATTGATCATATATTGGCTGTTATAAAAGAGAAGGAATATGAAACAATTGCAGTATGAAAGTGCTTCAAAAAAAAGGCACGACAGAAAACATAGGCATGATAGACTATAATAGCTCAATGAAATTTTATAAGGAATGTAAATTCTCCCAAAATAAAGAAAAAATGTGTGTCAATGTAATGTCCCATAAATCTGTTGGCCCCAGCAATGACCGAAGTAATGGCCTTAATAATCTACGATAATGTAGTTCACAGTCCCTGTGGCAGTATTAACGCAAAGGTTACGGCGACCCTTAACTTCATACCTCAAAAGAGGCCGACGACAATATATGTAAAAAATATTCCCTGCAACTTATTTGCTAGGAGCATCTCCGAAATTGCGCTTTGCTTCATTGGAATCATACACTTTTGGTTTGTTGAAATTCTACAAAGTTTACTTTTGAAATTCCCGTTGACATCATAGTTAGATCATATTATCACAATTTTTAAAATTTATGAAGTGCTCATAAAAGTTTAACCCTGTTTTCAACTTTCATCACCGACATTCTGTGTTCTAAAGTTGGTTAAAAAAAGAAGCAATAGAAAAAACTTCGTATACAAACTTGTGCTTTCATTCGCGCAATTTTTTTTGATTTCCTCGAACTATTATATCTTTTTTCTGTGGGTCACAAGTGCCAACGCTTTGGCGAGCAAGTTGAGCTGTTCTAGCAGCTGTGATTCGGTGTATCGTTAGGTACCCGCTGTTAAAGCAACCAAGGGGCGTGGCCTAGTGTATACCATTAATAGCTGGGTACCTAACGCCCGCACCTCGGCTGGGTACCTAACGCCACGCACCCATTGTGAAAATCAACTTTTCTTGATGTCGACAGGTTTTGCAACTTGCCTGCTAAAATTTACAAAAATGCGAGGTGGCATCCCAGAGGAATCGAACCCACGACGTCCAGCTTTGCAGTCCATGCTACCCAATGCACCAGAAGTCCATTGTAACTCCTCCAGCATGACGTCATAGCAGATATGGAATGCGCTCTAGAGATCACCGTCTGGGGACGGTATACGCCGTATACACCGTTTACCCAATCGTCACTGCAGTCAAGTATCCTTCCCTTGTAATAAGTAGTCAAAAAAGTAAGTAGCCCCTGATTGCTGTGTTAATAAGACCCCCCCCCCCTGAATTACCCTAATTTCACGCGTACAAGGCGCACCTTTTTCGATTTTTCGACTAAGCCCCTCAGCCACTTTAAATTATTTCGGAAAGCGATCCTTATGCCATATGATTCTCTTAATTAATATACAGCAAGGCGTAGGGTCCTTTGGTTGCAAAGTTCTTTGGCGTATTTGTGCGGCCGATTTTGAAAAAAAAATCCCCCGCGCCTTGTACGCGTGAAATTAGGGTATATACCTAAGATAGCATTACCAGAGTTGAGAAAGAGGTCAGGCACAAGTCATTCGAACCCCCCCTCCTCCCATGAAAGCCCTCAAACGACCTCTTCTTCCTCCTCTTAACCTCTGGACCTCAAAGTGTGACATTCTGAAGGACACCATTTTTTTCTAGAGTTTTCAGATTTCTGAAAGCTGTCCGATTTTCTGTGACTGCACTTTACAATCACACGTAATTTGACGGCTGATTTTGATCTGAGTGGGCATATTGAAAGGGCTATAATTTTCTTATGAGTGGGGCGTTCGGCTCCAAATTTCCAATCTAGCAAGAAGAAGCTATGTGCTCAATACTCATACCAGCAATGGAGCGCTTTCTGGATTTTGAAGGGAAGTTAAGGGGGTGCGGCACATCCCCTTAAAAGCTGCGGCAGCCGCAGCTTTTAAGGGGGTGTGCCGCACCCCATTAACTATATCAAAAAAACATTTTTAGCGGACAGTATTTATATGAATCGATAGCCTAAACCTTGTAGATTCCATAGGACTGTTTGGAGCCTGATTTGTCTTCTTAGCTCTAACAAGGGAACGATACTCGGTGTCCGTGGCCTTTTGAGATGAGATGTATATCATTACACTCGCCTTCGAACGCTGATTCCGAATCTGACTTCCGTTTCTGCTAATCACTTCAAAGATGTTATGATGGATCGCGCGGAGTTTGGCTGCCTAGTGAAGTACGGTCGGAGCGAAATCGATTTCCTTACGCTGTGGTCTAGTGGTTAGTGCAATAGCCTCATGAGTCGATGCAGGTATAAGTTCGAATCCCTTTGTGTTTTTCAGTTTTGCCTTGTCTCATTTAACCTTCTTTCGCATCCTCAAGCTGAGTGAACGCCCTTACTCTTCAAAAAAATATGTAAATTTGGAATGAATGATTGGTGTTTGCGCTGAAATGTATCCAGTGATTATAATTCGAGTGAATTTTCTTGAACAAGTAAGGCAGTGCAAAGGTAAAAACACAAAGTGATTTGAACCTACACCTGCGTTGACTTATGAGGTATCGCACTATTTACTAGACCAGAACGTGGCCGCAGTAGAGGCCGTTCCAATGACCATAATTCCAAAGGAATTATGGTCATTGGAACGGCCTCCAAACTTGGCTCAAAATTCGCTATAACTTCTTTCGGAGAAAAGATTAGCAGAAACGGAAGTCAGATTCGGAATCAGCGTTCGAAGGCGAGTGTAACGGTATGCATCTCGTCTCAAAAGGTCACAGACATTGAGTATCGTTTCCTTGTAAGTAATATTTGGTGAAAGCACAGCGATCAAAAGCGAAAAATGGGAAAAACGAGATTTTGGTTGGCTTCTAATTCCACAGTTTGCAGGACTTCTGAAGCGGGATTCCTGAGGTGGGCAAAGAAGGAGTAGTGCTTTGTCTTGAGTGCAAAAACGGATAGCTAATTCACCTTTGAAACAAAGTTAACCATGTTGGAATTTGACCATTTCATTTAGGTAGCCTAGTATCTTGAATCTTCACAGGGGTTAATTGACATGCTAATTATGGATATGATACGAATATCATGTTATCACTATTACCAGATTACCCAACTACGACCCCCTCCCCTTTTGACTCCTCAATACGACCCCCCAGGTGTGGCGTGCCGCACCCCACGCTTGACCCTGACGTAAAGCTTTATTATATTTGGAGGCTCTTTTGTAGTGCGTAAGTGCCCATTCCAACGATGCTGGTGAATACTGTTATCAAAACAATGCAGATTTTAGCGGCAAGAAATGTTCATAACTTCCGGAAGAGCGCACAGCAGACAGCGCATTCAAATGCATTTAGTGCTATGCGTTCCTTTCAAAAGGCGCGATCATCAAGTATCCTTTCCTTGTTAGGTGGATAGTAATCATTTTGTAGCGCCTCTTCACTCTACCGACTTCTACCCTAAGTTTGCGAGGAAAGCAAAAATAGCTTGAATTGTTTATAAAAGGCTTACTTTCGAGGCAAGCTATTTGTATGGGACGTATCAGCTGTTACGGGATGCATCTGGTATAACAGAATGCAGTGGCGATCCCAGGGTTTTCATCCGGGGAAGAGGGCAAAAAATTTTTCAAATGAAGGTGCGTGACGTCAGCCACGCACCCGGAAAATTTTTTGGGGTGCTTCTCGAAATTTTTTTGGGCTCAAAACCCCTAAAATCTAGGAGAAGGGGCATGGCGGCAGTCACGCTTCCGGAAATTTTTTTACAAGGCTAGTTTGGGTTTAAAAAAAAAACTCGGAAAATTGTTTGACTATTCACAAGTTTAACACATTAACGACCAAGGCCTTTTACGGACCAATCAACATTTTATAGATAAAATCACGCACAATTCCATTTCATCTACAGTAACGTTGAAATTCTGGCAAAAACAGTAAAGGTTGTGTTTAGAACCAGCATAAAAGAAAACATCCGGGATGTATTTGACACAAAATAGTGGTCATTTCAACGACGATATGGTGTGTTGAGCCTTGACACACCATGTGTGTGAAGCGGTCGTCAATGTGTTAAACAAGTCATTTGTACATTTTTATAACCCATGTACAATCTGACCCAATCGGGGTCAGGCCGAACCGTCGGCTAAATTTGCGCGCTCGCAGCGCTAGGAGTTTGCGCTGCATACGCGCGCTGTCGCAGAGATGAAGAGATTGAGAAGAGAGCAGACTAGCTAGCCGTAAAAGCGACGCGGACTCTCACCATGCCAATTTGGCCTGGTTGGGATGGGGTAGACTGTAAGTAAATTTCAAAATTTCGGGACCCATTCTCGTGGGGCCCCTCGCTTCGCCACTGCAGTGCAGTACTAATTTATGGTAAAATGTTCAGCAAAGTGGTACATCGCTTTGGCCTTGGTAAACCACACTTGCAAGATTTCGTTATTTGGAAACTGGACAATGTCAAGCAGATCTATCGGGAATTATGTCGAATTCTATCAAAATATGTTCATTCACATTATCCTTTAGCTGTAAGATGTGCTGCCTACAGCTTTCAATAATTAGCAGATGTACATTTTTAGCATTCTTATGTGTTTTCACATCTGTTTTTCCTCTTTGCTTTTCTCAAATATATCATCTCTAAGATGAATAGTATTGTGCTTTCTTATGTGTCACTATTTCTCCAATCAAATCTGTTTTTTTTGTCTTTCAACTTTCGCCCGGTGATTTGTTATCTATTTATTCTCTAGCGTTGTAAATTTTCTGCAATCTCTACTAAAATAAAAAAATTCCAGGCAAAACGCCTGCGCGTCTTCTCAGCATCGCAAGTTGTGATTTTACACAAAATAGGGAATGCGCAGTCGGCTAAGCATCAAATCTTTTCATCAAGAAAAATACGCATTATTTAAGCTTCATTTGATGCGAACTAACAAGGAAAGGAAGGAGAATGCTGTTGAGTGACTTTCTGAATCTTATGGCATTCTGGAGAGCATTGAACGCTGATCCCAAATCTCCCTGCTATCGCTGTTTTTGTCTGGACACCGAGTCGTGAATGCTACAGTAAAAAGAAGAGAACGCAATTCGGATAAGCCTAGTCGTCAATGGATTCAACGTACAAAATGCACAGTGGTACTCCGAGCATCTAAGAAAAAAAAGCATCCACTGCTTAGAATGCTCTCAACCAATTGCCCAATTAGCGGTTGTCAATGAATTACAATGCAGTCGAATTTTCCCAAGCGTTCTTTTTAAGATGATTTTTTTCACCTCAAAAAACGCTCACAACTCGACGTTTGAGGTCGCAAGCAGATGCTGAAGAAAATCTAGAAGTAGCGTTTTAATGCTTTTCAATAACTTTAAATTTCATCTAAGAAGTCCATTTCGACCAAAGACCTTTTACTTGTGAGCGAAGAGGCATAAAAATGTTCTTATAGTTTATCTTTTGTATTGTCATGCTTCTAATTGATTCTCGATCTGGACGTTGTGCAAAGACACTTCCAATTTTCAAGTTGTTTGGAAATAAATTTCATCAACTGTCATTGTCAAAAGTAGCGCCGAGGCAAATTTGGGACCGCTTTCATCAGCATCCCGGCAGAGAGGGGATCGCCGCTTAATAAAAAGGTTCATATCCTAAAGCTCCGAACCTTTGGATTTCTCGCTGTCTAGTTATCCGTAAGTATTCCTAACATCCTTCGCTATGAACATTTTGAACAGGATCGAGGTGCTGTACAGTTATGACAGTAGAATGTTAAAATCCTCGGCGAATTCGGCGAATTGGACAAATTTGGCGAAAAACGCGAAGTCGCAGACTTTGCTGACGTCTCCGAGAATTTTCACATTTCAAAGTCATGACTATTTGAATGTATGATGCAAATTCAAATTTTCGCTTAGATGGATTACTCATTGTGCTGACAACATTTCTACATTGTTTTGCTGTAGTGGTAAATACACGATTCTCAACTTTTAGTGACAATTCAAACACGAGTTTGTAACTTCATAATCTGACGAACAGTGCAGGTAGGCGCCTGTGCTAAGCACAGCCTGATAGCGTTCTTTGCAGAGTTTCTAATTTACAAAGACACGCAGGCAAGTTCCTTGAAAGACGGGCGAGAAGCGCTTGCATTGTATGACTGAATTTCTTCTATATAGGACACCACGGTAAAATTCTTCAGCGCGAAATAATCAAGATTTTCGTTAACAGTGGGTTAGAAAACTACCGTGAGTGGAGTTTCGGGTCATTACAAGACCATCAATGCCAAAACCAGCGGCGAGGTCAAGAGCAGATGTCGAGAAAAATCAAATGGCGCCATTTTTCTAAGAAAATTTGTGCATAGAGTTATCGGACCTGCTGATTACAAAAAAAAACACATCTGATTCGCACCATACTTCTTTCTGTAGGGCTAACGGTGGCTAGACTTCAGGTAAATATGGATTCTACGAAGCTTGCTAGCCGTTTTCGCCTTCACTACAACAGATGTTTTGCACCCTGTTTAGCTGCTAAAGACACGCAAAATTGCTGTATCGAACGAAGTCTATCATAGCTCTCTACCTACATCAAGTATTGGGTTGCGCTCTAACAAAAATCAGTTTGCAGAACATTAGTAAAGACCTCAAATCAAAACTGAATAATATTTCACCTTACTCCTACAATATCCATACAGAGTGTCACTTTCCAAAATCGACAAAATCGATATTTTGGAGGTTGCCAGAACTCGAAAATTAACAAAAGCTTATCTTGAAGGTTGTCAAACCTCCAAAGTTGATAAATCCCCTGGAGGTAAGGAAAAACCTCTAATGAATAGAATCGATATCCCAAAGATTGTGAAATTTTCAAATCTAAAATCAACAAAATCGACTTCCTCGCGTACTTTCAATACACGTTCTTTTGAGCGGCATTGTCACAAATGTAAGAAAAGTAGTAGAAAAGTTGTAGTACTCGAAACTTGACATATCCCAATTTTCGTAACGTTAATTCCTATACACCGCACAAGTTTTCAACAATGAATGATAATGGGGTAAGTGATGACATCTTACCACAAAGGTGAGTCTTACTAACGTAGTTTGCTGGTTTCGGCTGCTGTGCTTTATTCATTGCTTGCTGATGTTTTTCAAGAGCCGAAGATTCTATTCTGAAGGCCTTGCCTTAATACATACTCAACTATGGCAGAAGTAAGTGTATTGTTTAATGCTTTACTTCTGCGATATTACAACTATAAACCAAAAGTTCCATTTTTTCTTTTTGCGAATCAATCAGTTAGACTATGAGTTCCACCTGCTTGTGGCTCAATAGTAAATTCATGTCAATGGTTTCTTGGGAGATTTTTAGGGCCAAAACTGAAACCTACATCAGATATAATTCTTTTCACTAGGCTTCTTGTACGGTTGGAATTTAGAACGAAACATGCTTTGCTGTTCATGGACATTCAAACAAATGAGGTTGTAGTAACTGCACATCTTTATTTCTCAAGCTTTGGATAGTGAAAATTGAGATATGCACACACACAGATTTTCCGTTACATAAGCATAATTCTGAAAATGTGGATTCAATGGTCGGATATTTAAGCACATTTGATAGGAGAGGTCAAAGTGTTTGAAGCAAAGGGCAAAGGCTGTATGCCTTGCCCTTCATCTCAAGTTGATCAAACTTGTACGTGTAGCCACTCATATTCGTCAAGTGTGTACGTGTCTTGCCGTGTTACCAAATTTTGTATGTGTCAATTTGACTTTTATTGTCTTTTCTACCTCTCACGATAGTATAGATTCCTGAAAATACTAGATAGACAGTTCAAATATGAAAAGAATGTTAAGACTGCGTGCAGAGTAAGTCCATGCAAAAAAAGCACGACAGGGAACCAGAAGTGGAACATCAGACATCACTGATCGTTAGAACACTGTTCACTCCCAGTGCTACTTTTGATTGTATCCATGTGCAACTGCCCGGTTTCTACGGCTTAGAACCCCATAACTCCTCGCTCAGAAAAAAAACCTTTAGCAGGTGAAGGCAGACTTGTAACAGCGTTCCATACTCTACCCAGTTATGCATCTCATGTCAAAGGCCATTTCGATTGACCATCATTTTTGTTATTCTCAAAATGAATGACAGCAAAATCTATTTCAGTCGATTATAAGATTTTGAATAATGAGTGTTACAGTGTGCATCAGTAGAGCTTGTTACATTTTGAGATGAGAATTGAAGGGTGTTTATTATTTTCCTTCCTCTACGATGAAGAAGATAAAGCTTATAGATGATCCTGTGGCAAGGACAAATGAGCAGCACGTAAACTTGCAACTAAGTGAGAAGTCAAGAAACAAAACAAAATTTGGAAACACCATAGTCTTGCAGCAGTGCTGAGTGTCACTCAGATAACGAGCTTCCACGATTTTCTGAAAGATGCATTTGAATACTATAAGCTGCTATATGTAAACTCACAAGAATAAGTCTTTGTTCGGGATTTTATCCCTCATTGGTCTTTTGTCTCCAAAATAATAAATAAGATTTTGATTCCGGGCAAAGAATGCCAGCCACCAGCCGAAAGTAGATATGGTTGCAGAAATAAAAAAAGCATCGCATATCTGGGAGGATATGTAGAGATCTACACCTTCGGTAAAAGTGGATATGTCAGCAACCTTAACTGTGCCGTCGCAAGGAAGAAACATGCCAGCACTAGTGTTTTGACTCACAAAGTGTCTATTCCCGTTTTCATCTAATTCGAGATTATTGGCAATCATCTGCATAAAAACTCTATCGTCGCCGAAAACGAAGAAATGATTGAAACCCTGGAACAGTCTAGAATATGTGGAGACTTGCATTTAAATATAGCTACAAAGCAGACCGTTGCCTTGGCCAAGTGCCGCGTTATTCGAATCACTATGGAGGGGTCTGTCGAAACATTTAACGTTACGAAGTCTTCTCTGCGAGTATGGACACACATGACAGGAGAGTAATCACTGAACTTGTAGATATGGTTCAAAAGTCTTGCATGTCGCTATACAGAATCATCTTGACTATAATTTCGGTACAATCTTCTACTACTGCACAAACGTGCAACATTATCAAAAGCAGATGCTTTGATCAACCAGCAATTCCAAAAATGTGACATATTTATTAACTCGTTGGTGATTCACTCGGACTAAACTGTGTGAATATAAAGTACCTACAGCTTCAATTGTTGGATGGCAAGTCTTCCTTCTTTGCGTATAGAAGGCGCAAATTCGAGAAGTTTCAAAATTTCTGTTGTATATCCATCAAAGAAACGAGCATTTTGAGCGAATTTTATGTCAAGGAGCAGGTACTTCGCGCTATGATTAGCGAATCTAAATCATCAAATATAAAATCAACAGATTACTTGAATGGTAACGCAAACAATGTTGGTGCTAAAGTGCTCTACTGGTTTCTGTCAAGGTCGGATTTGAAGTTTAGTGTGGAGAAACGCTCTGATCTCTTTATAGGAAGGTAATTTATCGGCTGTAAATACTCTAACTTTAAGCGCAAAGCGCAAGGTTTTTTTTCTAAATCAATCATCTCAAACACGTCAAAGGATGTGGTAATCTAAGAACCCTCTTACGTGCATGGGCGGCCCCTTCGTCTCGGATTAGCTTTTAAATGACGACTTAGTTGCCATGGTATCATCTTGGAAGACAACTAAACTAAAAGAACATGAACTGCTGCATAAATTTTCCGAATCTTTTGAATGACATTGTTGGAAATATTAGGTTGTTGCAAAAATAATGTCCGTTTCGCAAAATTTAACTTTGGAAGGCTATAACTTTGTTCAATATCCATATTTTTGGATGCAATAAAGACTGTCAGAAGCAGTAAATCTTTCGTAATCTACGCGCACCAGCATATACTGATATCGCAAACGGGAAGAAAACCATGCGTCAAAAAACCGAAAGTTTTTCTTTTGAAAACTTCGTCTTTAAGAAATTACAACTTCCTCCAAGTTTTGTTCCTATGGCTGCAAATCAGCTTATTTTGTAGACGCAAGCCAGCAGTAGGAGAGGGACTGCGAAAAGAAAGGATAGAAATCCAAAGTTGTTCACTTTTTTGCGCCTGTTTGTGGTAGGCCAGAAGGACCCAACTATGAAAATTTTGGGTTCTATATGCATTGATTAGCTAAGTTTTTTTGCATAAATTGTAGATAAGATGTCCTGACTTCAAGCATACAAAAATAAGCGAAGCTTCGGCGATCGCCCAAATTATGAGAAACTTTGGGCGCATAGAATGCCAGCAGCGAGTATCTATTTCGAGCCGTCGATTCTTCGGTCCAGATGTTTGAAAAAAATCTATCTAAACATGCTATAAGTAAACAATGTTCAAGCAATACAGCAGCTAGTGAAAGAATCCGTTTACTTGCGCCTGAATTGTGGCCAAGGAAGTTAAAGCAACGAAATTTCGATTTTGAGTGCAGCTGTGCGAGATGCTGGTGAAATTCTAACAGATGAGACAGAAGCTTTATTTCTGTTGTAGAGCCGTCCCTTATATTAGAACTTGCTCGCTCACTATAGGCTAGGTCGATATGGTCTCTGTGGTTGCGGCGTACCCGCCGCGCTTTGATATATTTGTGTGCGTTGTTCTCTAGCTATTCCTAGTGAACCCTCGGCATGTACGCCGATAGGCAGAGGGGGAACTCTTGTGTTTTTCTAATAAATTGTCAACGGCTCAACGCGTTCCACATCAACTGGCGATCAGGATCAAGGACAAGAAGAACTCCACCACCAACCGAGGACGAGAAGAAGCTCCACCGCCGACCAAGGAGAAGAAGAAGCCTTCAGTCGATCTCAGGGACAACTTCTCCAGATAAGTTCCATTTGACAGCTGGTATCGATCGACGAGAGGGAGAGACATTTCGTCGTTGCAGCGGAGCCATGCCGAAGGTTGCAGAAGAGCGGCATGCGGCGGATCTGGAGAAGGTCCTCAACGTGATGATGGAGCAGATGCGGCTTCAACAAGAAGAAGTTCGGATCCAGATGCAAGCTCAACAGGAACAGATGAGGATGCTAATCGCTACTCTGGCAAGCAACCAGAGCGTAGCCGTACACGATGCCAGCAAGGATCAGTACGATCAGCTGAGCAAGGATGTGCAAAGGTTCGTCTCCGATGAAGACACACGTAATACCTTTGCCTACTGGTATAGCAGGTACGGACCGGTCATAAGCGAGTCCTTGTTGCCAGACAACAAGAAGCGTGACCTGGTCCTCATGAAGCTGGACGAAGAAGCATACCGGAAGTATGCAGATGAGGTCCTGCCTGCAAAGCCACACGACTTGGATTTTAACACAACTATCGAAAAACTTCAGAAGCTGTTCGCATCCAAGAAGACGCTGATAAGAAGAAGGTTCGAGTGCCTCCGCGTCACCTGCCCACCGCTTACGCCGACGTGTGTACCCTTCCGAGAATACGCCAACACAATCAAGCGGATGGATGAGGACGCTCGACTCAAGGAGCTCGACTATACTGGAATGAAGACGCTACAATTCGTAGCCGGCCTTCAGGACCCGTCATTGCGAGACGTCCGCCTGAGGATGATTCGCAGGCTGGATGCACATACGGACGAAACACCGCTGACAATCGAGGACTTGGTCAGCGAATGCGAGAATTACACCGCGTCGAAAATGGACAACACGGATATGGAAGGAACCCGCGATGTTCATGCGGTGTGGAAGAAAAAGGTAGATTGTTTCAGATGTGGAGGTCCGCATTTTAGTAGGGACTGTCCACAACTACCTAGAACGGGCCGAAGGAAGCGACGGAATACAGGGACTCAGCCCTATGGTCGAAGGAAACAATGCAAGAACGTGATCGCCTTCGACGCCGAGAACGCCCGCACCTACCTTGACGTTGTGGTCAAAGGATGTCCTCTCAAGCTTCAGTTGGACACTGGTGCGGATATAACGCTGATATCTCGTAAAGCCTGGAAGAGGATAGGATCTCCAGCTTTAGAACCGTGCGTGATGCCTGTCAAAACTGCAGATGGAACACCAATGCAGATCGATGGTAAATTTTCAACCGATTTCAAGGTCAAAGATCGAGTTACAGGACGGATGGTCCATGGAAGAGGAACCTGCTATGTCACCGAAGGCTCGAATCTCCTGGGATTGGAGTGGTGCATCCAATTGCCAGCCTACAAGAAATTGAAGACCAAGTATAACTGCAGGAAGGTGACTAGCGAAGAAGCAATCCGAGCCGAAGTTGTCGCCGACTTGAAGAACAAGTATCCGGATGTCTTCAAGAGCGAACTAGGGAAATGTAAGAAGAGCAAGGCCAGGTTAGTCTTGAAGAAGGATGCTGTCCCAGTCTTCAAGAAGAAGAGACCAGTTCCATACGCCACAGCACCGGAACTGGAGGCAGAAATTGATCGGCTGGTTGCCGAAGGAGTAATTTCTGCTGTAGAGCACTCAGAGTGGGCCGCTCCAATAGTCGCCGTCAAGAAGAAGAATGGCAGGATTCGTTTATGCGCCGACTTCTCGACAGGACTCAACGATGCATTGCAGCTGCATCAGCACCCGTTGCCCACAGCGGAGGATGTGTTCACCAAACTCAACGGAGGCCAGCTCTTCACTCAGCTCGATTTGGCCGAAGCATATTTACAAGTGGAAGTCGAGGAAGCATCAAGGGAAATGCTCACTATCAATACACACAAAGGATTATATCGCTACAATCGATTGCCATTCGGAGTGAAATCGGCACCAGGCATATTTCAACAGATCATGGATTCCATGATAAGCGGACTTGATGGAGTAGCCGTTTATCTTGATGACATCATCATCACGGGGAGGAGTTATGAAGAACACCGCCAGAATCTGGAAGCCTTGTTTAAGAGAATCAAGGATTACGGATTCCACGTCAGGTTGGAAAAATGCAACTTTCTGATGCCAGAGATCTGTTACTTAGGTTGCATTATCGATAAAAACGGACGCCGGCCGGATCCAAAGAAGATCGAGGTTATTCAACAGATGCCAGCTCCGAAGAACATAGCGGATGTTCGATCCTTCCTCGGGATGATCAACTACTATGGATTGTTCGTAGCAGAGATGCGCCAACTTCGTGCACCCCTGGACGCATTGCTCAAAAAGGACGCGAAGTTTGAATGGACAGAAGAGTGTCAAAATGCATTTAAGCGTGCCAAGGAGGTTCTAGCCTCGGATCTACTTCTCACACATTTCGATCCGAAATTGCAGATAGTGGTAGCTGCCGACGCATCGGACTACGGAATAGGAGCTGTGATTCTGCACAAGATGCCGGATGGTACAGAGAAGGCTATTTGCCATGCAAGCCGAAGCCTCACAGCTGCAGAACGGAACTACGGACAAATTGAAAAGGAAGGATTAGGCCTGGTGTTCGCGGTTCGTAAGTTCCATCGCTATATATACGGACGACGGTTCAGACTGCTTACCGATCACAAGCCGCAGTTACACATCTTTGGACCCAAGAAGATGGTGCCTGTGTACACAGCGAACAGATTGCAACGATGGAAACTCATTCTACTCGCATACGACTTCGACTTGGAGTATCGCAAGACGACCGAATTCGGACAAGCCGACGCACTGTCTCGATTAATCCCTCCACGGCCATTCCAAACCGAAGACGTCGTCATAGCGAAAATAGAAGAAGACGTGCGAGCCGTCCAAGCTGCTGCTGTACGAGCGTTACCAGTAACCCGAAGGAAGATAGAAGAAGAATCCCGCAAGGACGAAACAATTGCGCAAGTTATACGAATGCTGCAAACGGGAGCATGGACGTCCAAGCCGAAAGAAGAAGTCCGAAATTGGAGAGCACTGAGGGAGAATTTATCAGTGCAGAACGGATGTTTGTATTTCGCCCACAGGATAGTCATTCCAGCCTCGCTGAGACAAGCCGTTCTGAAGCAGTTACATGAGGGACACCCTGGAATGACAAGGATGAAGATGCTCGCGAGAGGATTCGCATATTGGATGGGCATCAACAGAGAAATTGAAGATTCAGTGCGCCGCTGTAGGGATTGTCAAGAAGCCTCCAAAATGCCAGTGAAGACGTTGCTGCATTCATGGAAAGTAGAAAGCAAACCATGGAATCGACTTCACATTGACTACGCAGGGCCGCTGAATGGTAAGATGTATCTCGTCGTAGTTGACGCTTACTCGAAATGGCCAGAAGTATTTGAGATGCCTTCATCGTCAACTACAGCTACTCTGAAGGAACTCAGTTCTCTATTCGCACGATTTGGAAATCCGCGAGTGATCGTGTCGGATAATGGGACGCAGTTCACAGCAAAGGAGTTCCAGGATTTCTGTGAAGAGCGAGGAATCAAGCATATGCGTTCGCCTCCATTCCATCCACAATCAAAGGGACAAGCGGAGAGGTTTGTGGATATCTTAAAGAGAACCTTCCAGAAAATTAAGGAGGGAGGAACGGCAGAGAAGCTCGCGGAGTTTCTGCAGTCTTATCGACGAACGCCTTGTACAACTGCTCCAGAACAACGTTCGCCTGCCGAGCTGCTCCTGGGACGTCAGATAAGGACACCACTGTCGCTGCTGAATGAAGACTTTAAAGAAGAAGGAATGAGCAATGAAAACATGGAGAAGCAGTTCAACCGCCACCATGGAGCACGACAGAGAGCGTACCAGCCACAAGAAGCCGTGTGGGTACGT